TAATGTTATGAGATTTAAGCTAATTAGTTTGAACCTTTTTTTTTGTGTGTGGGTTATAATTTGCATAATTTACATTTATTTCCTAATTTTTTATGGTAGTTATGAGATCAGTCAAATCAACCAAACCCGTACAGAGATTTGTTAGTGAAAATAACATAAAATGTAAACTTTTTCTTAAGAAACGTTTTGATAACTATCTGGACATTATAAAGATAATAAATTATAAATATAATTATAAATGAAAATTACTGTGCATGTTTAACAGGCAACATGCAAAAAGGCATGCTTAACAAACCTTAAGACTTAGTAAAAAACAAATCTGATATTTTGCGTACAAAATCCTTTTAATGTTTACCGATAATTTGCCAAATTTCATGAACATGTGCTTACTAATTTTAAAAGTTACAGCATGAAAACTATAACAAGCACAAAGTGGTTACAAGGTTGGTCCCAGGGACTGAGCCCATCCTGAAAGAGTTAAAAGATGCTGGTGGCAAGTTTTTTTTGTTGAAAACTATGAGATGGCTGAGAGTGTAAATGCTTTCCCCTGTTTTTCACAAGAGTGTGTATTAGCATACATTCTTACCCCCAAGCATTCCGTGAGAAATATTGAAATGTATTTGATTCATGTTGATATTAATCCACTGATAAATAATAAAGATAAGGCACAGTGCCAGAAAGAGTTTGTATTAGCATACATTCTTACCCCCAAGCATTCTGTGAGAAATATTGAAATGTATCTGATTCATTTTGATATTAATCCACTGATAAATAATAAAGATAAGGCACAGTGCCAGAAAGGGTCAATTGGGTCCTTCGAATTGTGGGATGATTGCACTGTCAAATGATTGGGAATTTTCTGTGAACAAAATCTGTATACACTAAACTTGTCACCTGTTGCATGGCTTGAACCTGTGATACCCTTGTGGATACCAGAATTAATGATAGTGCAACTTTAGCTGAATTTCTAAGATTAAGTATAAGAAATGTAAAGTTTGGTTGGAACATTCTGAATTTAGGTCTCAAAAAAAAATCACCTATTTTTTGAAAAACTGCCTTTTTTCATTTCTGGCTCTACATGTATGTAAAAAGTTTAAAGCATATGAAACAGTAATATATTTGTAAAGATAGATAATAAAGAATCATGTGTTAAATTAATTTTAAGGATTAATAGTGGGATCATATGATTTTTGTACTTGTATTGTAACTTTAAACAAACAACTATTTTGTCATTTTGTTGAAATTTTTTCCAGTAATTTTTATGGTGAGAAAGAATAATAAATGTATTAAAATAGTTTCTAATAATAATTTTTTTTAAATATACAGATTTCTGTGTGATTGTATTAACTTATTGATCATTGAATTAATGTTCTAGAACTTCAAGCAAGAGAAACACTCCTCAACGAAATGAAACAGAACAAAAAGCTACTCATTCTTCCCAGAAAGATGAAAATTGTAGAAAGACAACTTCGAACAAACCAAGTGATTGTAGAAGATTAGGAGGTTCTCGGCAAGAACAACAGAATACATGTAACAAGGAAAATCCCAAAAGAACTGTTTCTGATTCGGGTAAAATAAATAAAATGTTATAAAGTTACATAAGCCATAGCATAGTGTATTATCAGAAAAAATAAAAGGAGTTTGATTGGATTTTGTAGGAACTATTCACATATTACTAGATTTCAGAACATATTTACCAAGAGTTTAATATTTCTTCAAACTATAATATTTTTGCACCATGAAAAACAAAATGAAAGTCAATGCCAAACATCCTGATTGCGAAAATTTTCATCTTAATTAAAGAATCTGTCCTAGACTTGAATTCTGTCAATGCAAGTTCTGTTTTGGAGAACTGGTGTTTTATATTATATTGTCTTAGTTTTTTCTGTTGACTAGTGATTAAGATTTTTTTTTTAAATACAAATCATACATGAACAGATCTGAGTAGTACAAATACAATCTAATCAAAAAAATACCTCGTATGGGAAAAAAAGGTGTGGCCAAAAAAAAATAGATTCAGCTTGTGACTTAAAGGAATGAAATCAAAATTGGCATCCAAACTGATAGATACACTTATAGTATTGATAGGAATTTTACAGAAATTATTCAGTCATTAGTTAGCCAGGCTGCATTTTGTGTTCAACTTAGGCATGATGATGAGTAAAACAAAATACACAGCCTGGCTAACTGACAAATGAATATTTGCTGTAACATTCTTGTCAATGCTATAAGTGTAGCTATCAGTTTGGATGCCAACTTTGATTTCATTCCTTTAAGTTGCACACTCAAGCCTTTTTGTCCGCACCTTTTTTTTCACACCTAAGGTGTTTTTAATTAGATATCATAACTTTTCGTCAATACACACCAACAAACCACAGTAAGTAAAAAGGTGACATTCGATAGTAACCATCATTAGCTTTAGGATCACAACCCTATTATTTGGAACAGACCTATACTTTACTATTTCTTCTCTAAAACAATGTTAATAACTTCCATTATAGTAATGCCACAGAATCTAGATTAACAGTTTCTTGTCATCAGTTGCATGCACTTGGTACAGCCATATCAGGCATCATTATTTATGCTAATTGCTTAAGCTAGTATCATGTGATGCTAAATGCTCTTTAATTAGGAGAATTTCATAAAATTTAGCAAATTTATGCATAAAAGTTGGCAATGAATAATTAATAATAACCGTCCACCCTTATGATTCTTTCGAAAACTTGAGCTAGAAACTGCTAATCTAGTTTGCTTGGCCTAACAAATACTTATGTATCTGCTAGTCCTTTCACCTTATAGTTTTGGTCCTCTAAGTCAGCCGTCTATAATCCAAATAACAAAAAATTAAAAATGGTCCACCTTTACTCTGTAAGAAAAATTTCATACCGATAACCCAAATGACTTTTTGTGTAGATGTGTGCCAAAATATTGGTCAAAATTGAGCAGTTTTTGTTGAATAATTTTGCACACATGGCTTATATTTAGATCAAATTTGACACACAATTGTAGGTTGTAAAGATCTATCAGTATACAGAATTTCAAAATAATCCATGAAAGTATGTTTTTCTATCAAATAAAGTTTCCAGACTTTCAGTGCAAAGAAAAATAAAAAGGAACAAATTCAATCAAAATTTGAGATTTTATATCTCGTGTATTTCCAAATAGATTGCCTTGAAACTTGGTATTGAAGTAAGAGTCCAGTAGAGCACATCCACTGGAAATATGTGATAGTTTGGATTACCACAGTCAGAGATACAGAAAGTAGAAAATCAATAAACTATCACTCTGTTAATAACACAGTGTGTCCTGCAGCAGGTTGTTTTGGCAGCACGATACCGTGTGTCTTGATACCAAGAGAATTACATTGATTACTTTGTAATAATTGTATTATGAATAAACTGTTTACATATGTGTGTAATTTTAGAAAATGGCTTTTTATGGCAATATCACAGAATCTACACTGGGCAGTATGTATGTTTGTAGCTTGGTTATGATTATTTATGTAATTTAATGACAAAGGACTCTTTTTTTTAATATTATTTTTACTGACTCAAGAATGAATTGTTTCCAACATTTCTACCATGCCTTTTTAATAAATGATGAAACTTGCTTACAGTATTTAACCAAATAACCTCATGATTAATAACAACCAGAATGTTTTAAATTGATTTCAGGATAATAGCATTACCTCAGATATAAAGAAAGTTCAGCAGATGTCACAGTTTTGTCTGATCAATCACAGCAGTTGTTTTAAGTGTGCTCGTCCAGCATCCAGAAAGCATTGCATACTGGTAACAACAGACATTACATCAACAACATGTATCTCCTCTGGTATGCTAGCCTCTTCCCAGAAAATTGTATCTTTAGGGTCTGGAATTGTGCTAGGCTTCCCACAGTACGCTCGTGAGTTCAGACTGGTATCGGGTCCACTAAACAAGATGGCATTTCCAAAAAAAAAAAGTGACATGAAATTATTCTGTCTCAAAATTGCTCCCCAAAGGCGTGTTTCATCTGGTTACCAGTGCGTAGAGGAGCACCAGCCTGCATGAAAACTGTAGTGTTTATCACATTGTTTGTGGTTCCCAGAAAGGGTGAAGTGTCTTACCAATAAAATCATCACATCATGTTAAATCTGTACCCTTCAGTACTTGAATAGGATGCAACTTGTAAGGAAACATTTGCTAATTTGGCTGAAGAGTCTTCCAAACATTTTTAATTGGCAAATACAGACACTGACCAACATCACATTGGTGATTTGCCTATATGTGGCTTATTACAGTTGCAACTTGTCATTTGAAATTTGTTTATGAACTTGTGAACACCAACACTGTAATAAGACCCTCAAGATGTTATGCATTCTAAGATACTCCCTCAGATTTTCCTTCAGCACTGCAACCTTTAGTGTAATAAAATTTGACTAGTTCACCTCTCTGCACACTTCTCAGTTTCATGTTTACTGGATGAGCCTCACTGTGATTAACAGGCCCATTTATACCCATGCAAAATATGTATGTGAAGGAAACCACAGTGGTACCCTTAGTGCAACATGTACCATTTATATTTGCATAATGTTCCCAGGCACCCTTGTGTAATTTCATCTTCCCATACCATACTGTTTGTGAGATATGACTCACTGAACTGCAAAACGTTTTTTTACTATCCCTATTTGTTTGTTTTATAGAACAAAGCTGCATTGGACTATCTGCTACATCCACTGTGGGGGAATTGAACCTCATATTTAGGCATTGTAAGTCCATAAACTTACTACTATCACCGTGTACTTTAAATAAGTCATTACTGAAAACAAAAGGATTTCTTGTAATAAGTCCACCTCTTTTTATAAGTAGTCAGGTTTTTACATATGTAAGTATGGGCCAGATTCTTTACAGTAGGTGTCTGTGATTTGTTGGTGATAAATTTCAATAATAAATAAACAGCACACAGTCCACTTGTTTTAAAATTATATATTAAGATAAGTCAAATGTATCTACAAATGTTTGTTACACAGTTAATTGCCACAGTTTTATTCAGAGCTTTAAATAATCACCTCTTTTTCATCAAAGTCCACACAGTCTGGTTCAGTTACTTTAGAACACAATTGAGAAGAAAAATTATTCTTCTCTACTCTGTTGTTATAATACAATCTGTGATAATTTCACTTCAAAAAAAAAGTGCCACTATATGCTCTTTATGTCTAACCTTGCAAACGCACAATCTAGATTTATATGACAATATCTCTCACTAACAAGATATTATGATGTAATAATACTCAATAAAAACTTTGAAGGTTCTAAAACATGATGCAATAATACTCAATAAAAACTTTGAAGGTTCTAAAACATGATGCAATAATACAACTATTGCCAATTTATGACAGTTGAACTATACAACGTATGATATGCACAGCTATGTAAACAAACCTGCGATGAACTATTGCTTCTAAAAATAACTAAATTTAACACTCAAGCTATACTTAAAATTGAAACAGTTGTATATACCTAACAGGTACAAATGAGTAAAGGATTACTGACTAGGACCAAAAAAGTCATAAATGGCTGTTTCACCATTTTCATATTATATACATTTTAACTTTAAATACAAAGTTGTTTGATTCAACCTTCCTTGGAGCCGCTAAATGTGCTCTAACTTTGAATGTACAAAGTATATTTCATGGAATCTGGCAATCTTTCAGATATTTTAATAAAATATTTTTACTAAAGATTGGCCTATGAATTTACAAACCTTTTACCATGTCAGTCAAATCTCATTTGCATAATTTCTAGAACTTCTTAACCCTATTACAACAGGTTTGTGTATTTTACATGACCTTCTAACCACCACAAAACCATGACTCTGAAAGTACTTAATGTATATCCATGAAATTTGACAAACTTTTAGTGAACATTAAACAATAGGGAATCCTCAATAGCCACAGCACTTGAAATTTTTTTAGGCATGATTAGAGTAAATTAATCTACGATACATTTTTTTTTTCATTTTTTATTACCTGTATTTTTGTGTGCCAGCAATACCAAGCATGGCATGTGCATTAACCTGATTTTATTACTCATCTCTTCTGGCCTACCCTCAAATTAAAACTCTTTTAGGCAAGATTAGAATAAATTAATCTATGAGAACTTGGGCATGATCAAATACATCATTCAAAAGGGTTTGACCTCTTGAGTCCAAAACTGTAATTAGCTCAAATCGATCAACAGATGATGGACATATGAGCTGAAAGATTGTACTTGAAAAAAAAAAACACAAAAATACTCAGAGTTGTTCTGTGAGCCACTATGCTGTGGCTCAAAATTTTTAATAAGATATTTTTACTAAAACTTTGTCCATAGTTATATATGATGTCAGAATATTGACTGCTCTGATGCAAAGTGATTTTCATGTTAAGATTAAAAATATTTTATTTGTCTGAAAATTTTAAAATTTTCATTTGCCTAATCCCTAAAATCATTTAAATGAATATCAAATGTTTTGTTTTTCAGAAAAACTTTATATTTTGTCTGTTATTTTCTTTACTCTGACTATATATAGCATTGGTTGATTTGACCAACCTCATTACCACCATAAAAAAATTAGGAAATAATTCTACGTTAATTTTTTTTTCATTCTGGAATAACTGCAAATTGTAATAGGAAACCACAATTTTTTATCCTAAACAGCTTAATTCTTGTAACATTATACATCTATTTATACCTGATTTTGTTGTTTTATTGTCTTTCTTACTGTGTCGTACTGATAATCCTGCCACAAAAGCTGTAAATCACTCGGCAAACATGTAGCTCATAGTATCCAATTGAATTACGTAATGCATAAACTACTCGTGAGCATACTTCATGAAGAATGTTTATTATTATTATTATTTCTCTTTATTTTAACAAATCTAACCTAAAAGGTTTCTAACTTTAATTTTAATTACTTTTATAATAATGAATAAAAAATCCATATGAAAAACAAGAAATGTACTACTTACCAGGGTCTTTTTTTGTTTTGCTATTGACTGTTGATGAAACTTAAGCCTACTTTTTTATACTAATGGTACTGCCACACTAAATAATTTTTTATTTAATTAAATAAGGCACCAAAGAACACAGAATAATAACAAGTAAAAAGCAGACAATGCCCTATAACTATTATAATTTTTCTGCCTTTCTAACTATGTGATAAGAACCATTAAAAATTCAGCTAAGCTCGTTGATGTATATCCTGTGGGAATAAAGTTTGAAATTAAGAAACTAAAACTTAGATAATATAAAAAAATGGTTTAATTTTGAACTGTACTTTTATATCAAGTTCGTTAACATACATTGATAATAAAGTTTTTAATTAAATTTTAAATGTTACTGTAGAAAGAGTTAACTTTCTATTTTTTATATAGTATTAAATTTTATGAGGAAATTTCATGTTATGCACTTGTAGACAATTTAGAAGAAAGACAAATATTAATCAACCCAATTATTTTTTCTGTTTAGATGTGTTGAAGAATAGTGGGTCTGGAGACCAGAACTCAAACTCTGAAGCAAGCCAGACTTCTTCCCCAAGGTATGGGATTATTAGTTTGGGTGTACAGTCTAACAAAATTATTTAGAGCATCAAGCAAATTACTCTATAATGGAGATGATTTATCTTTGTGTAATAAAATGGATTATGATATGACTTTGTCACATTATCAAATCCATTTATGTTACTCATTATTATAGCTGGGCAATTAGTGGAATTGGGTAATTAATTAATCATTATACTCATTAATCAATTACATTAAACTTAACTGATTATTCTCACATGAGACAAATCTTACCATTTTCGTTCCCTGGTGAGACAGCTGTAAGTCTACGGATTTACAATGCTAAAATTAGGAGTTTGATTCCCCTCGGTGGACACAGCAGATAGCCAGATGTGGCTTTGTGTTTTTTTATACAATTCTCAGCTTGTTAAGGGATTTTATAAATACTTTTTTGTACTGTTGTACATTTCATCTGTTAGAATACTTCAGATAAAACAATTTAAGATTAAGGAACTTTTTTTTGTTGTAAACTCTTGTACACGACAATAAAAACATTGTAAAACACAACCTGTAAAAAATCTAAAAATACAATTAAGACTGTTTTGTAGGTTTTCTTCTACAGATTTTCAGAAGATTATACTAAAACTGGAATTTGTTTTGATGAAAATAAACAATTCATAATATTGATTATAAACTGTAAATAGTTTGTCAAAATGTGATGTATGAACAGTTATAAAAACTACACAATATGTCTGATTTGTAAAATATTGTAGGTGTATTACATTAGTTCTTTTTCCATATTTTTGTGTGTGTGTGTATGTACTAGTGATTAGTTAGCATACTAGACTATCATCTTGAAGGTTCATGGTTCATGTCTTGTAGCTGCAAAATAATATTTCACACTGTAGTCGTAGGTTCTTTATGAGAGTGACAGTCAAATCCAACTACTTGATTAGACTAGACAAAGAATCAGCTGTTGGTACCGTTAAATAGTCTTCTTCCTTCACCAATCATTTCAAAATTAGGGACAGCTTTAACAGATAACCTTAGTGTAGTTTTGTAACAAACAAATATAGGTTTATTGCTCTGTCATTGGGCTTGCTAGATCAGCTAAATGATAATATTGTTGAACTAAATGAACGAGAGAACTGAAACTGCCCTAACAGCTGTTTAAAGAGTATCTGGGTTGAATGATGAAATAGGTGCAGCAGATCTAATGAAAAAGAAAGAACTGGATCAATAAACTGAAACTAAGTTAAGTAAGAAATTGGCCAGCGTACTTTTGAAGGAGTAGACTAAAGTTGAAAAAACTGAATGAATAAACTTGTATTAGTGGAAAAGCTGTAAGAAGCTGAGATAAAAGAGAAATTATCCAGAGTTTCATTGTTTTATAGTTTATTGGAGAAAACCAAATCAAATAAGCATACTCTTAAGCTTTTGTTTTTCTTAAATCCAAAACAGTATATAGTTTAACTTAATGGTTACTAGTTAGAAACAGGTAATCTTTATCCAAAACAGGCAATAATTTAACTTAATGATTACTAGTTAGAAACATGTAATCTTTCTCCAAAACAGTCAATAATTTAACTTAATGATTGCTAGTTAGAAACAGGTAATCTTTCTCCAAAACAGTATATAGTTTAACTTAATGGTTACTAGTTAGAAACAGGTAATCTTTATCCAAAGCAGTCAATAATTTAACTTAATGGTTACTAGTTAGAAACAGGTAATCTTTCTCCAAAACAGGCAGTAATTTAACTTAATGGTTACTAGTTAGAAACATGTAATCTTTCTCCAAAACAGTCAATAATTTAACTTAATGGTTACTAGTTAGAAACAGGTAATCTTTCTCCAAAACAGGCAGTAATTTAACTTAATGGTAACTAGTTAGAAACATGTAATCTTTATTCAAAACAGTCAATAATTTAACTTAATGGTTACTAGTTAGAGACAGGTAATCTTTATCCAAAACAGTCAGTAATTTAACTTAATGGTAACTAGTTAGAGACAGGTAATCTTTATTCAAAACAGGCAATAATTTAACTTAATGGTTACTACTTAGAAACAGGTAATTTTTATACAAAACAGTCAATAATTTAACTTAATGGTTACTAGCTAGAAACAAGTAATCTTTCTCCAAAACAGTCAATAATTTAACTTAATGATTACTAGTTAGAAACAGGTAATCTTTATCCAAAACAGGCAATAATTTAACTTAATGATTGCTAGTTATAAACATGTAATCTTTTTCCAAAACAGTCAATAATTTAACTTAATGGTTACTAGTTAGAAACAGGTAATCTTTATACAAAACAGTCAATAATTTAACTTAATGATTACTAGTTAGAAACGGGTAATCTTTATTGAAAACAGACAATAATTTAACTTAATAGTTACTAGTTAGAAACAGGTAATCTTTATCAAAAACAGTCAATAATTTAACTTAATGGCTACTAGTTAGAAACAGGTAATCTTTCTCCAAAACAGACAATAATTTAACTTAATGGTTACCAGTTAGAAACAGGTAATCGTTATCCAAAACAGAGATTTTACTGGATAGGTATGAGGCAAGATGTGGAAGAATGGTGCAGGATCTGCAGTACATGTTGCGCTAAAAGTGGATCCAAACATAAGGGATGTGCTCCAATGAAGTTATATCAAGTTGGTGCACCAACGGAAAGAGAAGCCATTGACATTGATGGTCCTTTGCCTCAAACTCGTGCTGGAAACAGATACATTCGTGTGGTGATGGATTATTTCACCAAGTGGCCTGAGGCATATGCAATACTAAATCAGGAAGCTACAACTGTAGCTTTGGCTATTAGTGATTTCTTCTTCAGATTTGGTATGCCATACGAACTGCATTCAGATCAAGACTGTAACTTTGAATCAGCTGTGTTCCATGAATGCTGCAAGATGTTTGGCATCCAAAAGACCAGGACTACGCCACTCCACCTACAGTCTGATGGGATGGTAGAAAAGTACAACTGGACATTGGAACAGGAATTGGCAAAGTTTTGTTATAGCTGCCAAGATGACTGGGATGTCTTACTCCCTCCACTGTTGATGGCCTATAGAACAGCAGAGCATGAAGCCACTGGATACACTCCAGCAAAGCTGATGTTTGGTCGGGAACTTCGGTTGCCAGTGGATCTGCTAACAAAATGCCCACCTTTTGAAGAGTTGCCTGAAAATGTGTCAGAATTCGTGAAAGTGTTATCGGAAAGGATGGATGATATTCACCATCAAGTGCGTTTAAACTTGAAAATGTCTGCTGATTACATGAAGCTATGTTATGATGAGAGATCTATTGA